AATTATAAAATACAGATTTTCAAAATTTATGGTAAACATTTCTAATATCTAAGTGTCATTTGAGCAATCAATTACCCAGCACACATATTTCAAAAGCTGTTTTAATGGGATGTAAAAACCAAGAAAAAGTAACAAACAGTCCCTCACCTGCTTGGAGAGGAGCTCCTTGCACAGTGTGTACAATGTAATGAACTTTCGGGCTAATGAGCGTGCATCCACAAAACCTTCAGCAACTAACATAATTTCACAGATTAGCTCAATGTCAGGGGCCACCATGGCACAGGGTCTAAAAAGTAAATATAAAATTCAGTCTTAAAATGTGATAAGGTGGTAAGTACAAATGGCTGAAATTGAGTGATTAATTTGTGCCAACATTTTAACCATTCCTAAGAAGGTCACAATTATCTCTGTCCATCACAGCTAATGAGACCCTTCATTTCAACTAAAAAATGTCCACTCATTACACATAGGAAATGATGGAAAGTCTGAAATGGCAGAAGCACAGGTATAGGAGTTTAAAGAAAATCCATAGATACATTCTGTAAAGGTCTAGTTTCAGTTGTCACTACAAAAAGATGGACGGTGATGTTTTGGGCTAGAGGCCAGCCTTTACCTGTGGCTAATGGTATGCTGATAAATGTTTAATGCCCAGCTGTCTAGAAAATAGCATTTGCTGATTTCCATGGAATAAATCCTTTCACCACAGCTAAACTACGACGAACACAACCATCACTAAATGTACAGCTGGGAAGAGACATGCAGTAGTACACCACCATACAGACACAATAGACATAAATAACCTCAGGAGCATAAACATTAGCAAAATAATTATGAAGTGATAAGTTTTGAGTATTTATCACCTTTGTTTTTAATGTAATTTATTTAGTCAACAGTTGATATAATTTCATTCTTATTAGTGGCTCTGCTTAACAACCAGCTCACAAAATTCATGAAAATTCAAACATCAGTTCTTGAAAGCTAGTATAAGCCATCTCTAGCACACTACTGCATTGGGCCCACTTGAATAGACTTTTAAGATAAAAATTCAGAAAAACAAAGCTTCAAATCTCCTTTCTTTTGGAGGAGGACTTCCAAAAAATTCTTTCCCAAAGACAATTGCCATTGACAGCAATGTTTGAAAAAGTTCTGCTCAACTGAAGTCAAGTGCAAAGAAGGTGCAAGAGTAAACAAATAAGCAAACTCATTAGTCTTCTTAAATCATATATTCTAATGATACTCACATGCTTTTGTAATTGTAATTACAGTCTACTTCATGCACATCTAATTTTCATCTTAAATATTCCCCAAAGTATCTTTGGCTCTAGGTTTTGAATACTTCTCTTATTTAGGCTGACCCCATATTTTTCTCACATTTATTATCCTTCATCATATGACAGAATAAGATGAAAAGTAAATAGGGAAAACAAAAGGCTAGCATATTTGCTTATTTTATACTTATATTAATATAGATAACTAATATTTACTGAGTGCTTACTTCATGCCATATAGGGTGCTAAAAGCTTTTTATGTACTCTCTCACTTAATTCTCACAACTCCACCAGGTATTAATAGCTACTCCTTTTATCTGCATTTTACAGAGATGCAGACTGATGTTCCCAGATGTTCAAACACATGCCATAGGCCACATGGTTGGCAAGTCATAGAATTAGGATACTCCAAAGGCCCAGGCATGTTGCCTCCACTCACGAATGATACTTCCATCACTCAAATTTTCATTCAAAATTCTGACACAAATATTAATACTTGACATAAATGACACTACACATAAAATTTATGAAAACATCACAAAAAAATTTCAAATTTAACCCAAATGAAAAAAAGTCTGAGATAAATTGAGTCACAAACATAAAAATACTGGGAAGGTATATGATCTTCAAACAAAACTATTGTGTAATCGTTACATTTATTTCCAGAAAAATCATTTTGTATCTAGAATTTTTTCAAGAAAATTAGACATTATAAAATTACTATGCTAGAGAAAACTGTTATCATGACCAAAGGAAAACATTCAATACAGAATGTTAAAATAATTAACCCAAATGAAAAAAAGTCTGAGATAAATTGA